GCAATTGCTTTTACAGCTGTCCAAGAGGGAAATTGTCCGAGGGGGAAATTAGCATGTAGTTATCAACAATTATACTGGAAACTAATGAATCTATAAATATATAACACTGAGGTTCTTTTTAAACAAATTAAAACCCCATGAAACCACTATGAATGGGAGGCAAAAATACATTAAGCATAAGCTAAATGGCCTTTTACTACCCTCTGTGATGCAATGTCATTACAGCCGTCTTCTTTTACCATATTAACCTTTTTGTCATTGTTGCCAATAGTATGTGATTTCTTCCCCAGAAAACTGCTTCTTGAAATTATCTTAAGTTTTTCTGAGTGCATTCTTTTGATTAAATTTCCTTGCTTTCTCCAATTTGGCCAGTTGGAAGGCCAAACACACATACACCCACCCCCAGCTCTGTTTAGTTACAACCCTGCATCCCAGTTGTAGCTCACCATTGGTTTCCAGTTCAGGAAAGACCTGAAGTCGATTTCTCATCCTGTTTGTTGTCTGTACTTTGAAGACTACAGGGATGGGGTGAGGACCTAGAGAATTCCATAATTCATCTGGTCCCTTCTCCCCAATATTGTTCCATACCACAATCACTTTGTGCAAATGTGGTACTGCCTGATAATGATTTAAAAGTCTCAACAAGAGATCTGTTCTGTTATAAGTCTGCATGATGAGAGTAAAGGAATCCAGGGCGGACTTGCCCTGGGATTTTATTTCCTACGTAAAGTGAGCATCTTGTCTTCTTTGATCGTAGGAAGCAAGGTGGTCAAAGCCCCAGCTACCAGTAATAACACAAGGATGACCACCAAAGAGAAACGAAGCACTCGAATCCCCATCACTCTTCCTGGAAGTTTGCAGATGTGGCAACACCTGGAGTAGAAGTGGAAATAAAATACAGAATATTAGCATTGTGAGTAGTCACCCTGGGTTAGCTTTTGCTTTTTTAATTAAAAAAGAGGTTAATCTGGGGCCTCCTGGGTGGCGCAAGGGGTTAATATGCAACCTATGAAGCTAACCGCAGATTCTGCAGCACAAGTTCGATCCCTGGCCAGGGAGTAACCCACATGGCGCAGCAGACCTCTCCTGACTCACCCTGCTGCTCCCCTCAGCAGTGTATTTCAGTCAATCTGCCTGCTCTGTTCCTCATTCTGTCTCTGGTGAATCATCTTACCCCCCACACCTCTGGCCTGTGCCCCCATTCTTGTATGCATAAATAAATAAATCTTTAAAAAAAAAGGTTAATCTTATTTTAGTTGATTCAAATTCAGCTCTCCCTTCTTCTTTGGTAAGGTGATTTGACATAAGTTAAAAGTACAGTGACAGGGCCTCCCCGGTGGCGCAGCGGTTGAGCGCTGGGTTGCGAAGCTGCCCGCGGCCTCTGCAGCGCCGGTTCGATCCCCGGCTGCTCCCCGGCCACCGGAGGAGGGTCCCGCATGGTGCGCGGACCTTCCTGCGCACCCGCTGCTCCCCTCAGCAGTGTACTTGGGTCCTTCTGCCTGCTCTGCTCCCCGCTCTGGCTCTGGTGAATTCTCTCACCCTCCCGCGCTTCTGACTGTACCCAGTGCATGTACAAACAAACAAACAAGCAAATAAATAAATAAAAATACATGCCCCTTTAAAAAAAAAAAAAAAGAAACAATTAAAAAAAAAAAGTACAGTGACAAAACCTTCCCTTCTGAACCTACTTGCTTTACAATTTGCAGACAAAAGATCTCCAAAATACCAAATAGAATTAAGCAGTTCATTTTGATATTTACCATTATTTTACAACTAAAAATTCGGAAGAGATTATTTTTCAAATGGTTTCATATTCCCTTAGTAATATAGTAATTTTTAAAATCTTGATTGAGTTATCATTGACATATGAAAACTGTATATATTTAAGGTGTACAGCTTGATGTTTTGGTGTTAATTTTACTGCAGTATACTAACTTAAGTATACTGTCATAGCAAACTTTTTTCCAAATGAAATCATATGCAGAACCCCACATATGAAGTAAAAAAAATTGGTAGCAGCAACTGCAAACAATTACAAATTACAATTTGTTATTTTTTGGACCCTATACTATGTGCTTTGCAAGTTACAGTAAGTAAGTATTTATTTAGTAAACTAAACAAAAAGTTACCAATTATTTATAGTGCTAGGCATTGCCTAGGTTCTAGGACTACAGCAGTGAATAAGAGACAAGGTCTCTATGAGTAGCAAAGGAGAGACTGGGGTGAGACACATCATAGTAAATACACTCAGAGATAATTCAGGATAGTCTTAATTTAGAGAATAATCCAGAGTGACATGATAAACAAGGGCCAGATTAAGGAAGCTTTTGTTAGCTTGAATAAAATGAAAGGATTGTATTCTGACATGGGAAATCACTGCTGGGCTTGGCTCAGAGGAGTCTTCACCATTATTATTCCCATTTAATAGTTTAGATGCTTACAGAGGTTAAAAAAACCTCTTTCAAGATTACTAAGAAACTTAAGTAATGGAATTAAGATTTGCAGCCAGAAATATTGCTGCCAAGAGCTCAGCTAGTCATCATCCTGGGCTTGGGAGTACTGCCTAGACTCAAATCCAAGTTGAGCTGAGGCAGGTCAAGCTCTTGAATTTCTAAAGCACCCTCTCTCTGTACAAGAGAATCACAAGGTATTGTGATCAGCTATACACTCAGCTATTCTCCACTCTACCTAAAGGAGTTGCCACAGATGGCAACAGAATGGTAGGTCAACAATAATTTGTGAATGCGTTCTGGATATTTCCTGGTCAAATATTTGTTTAATCATAAGCGTAAATCATATATGTAGGGCAAAGCTAAACCTCAGTTTTACAGAGACCTACCACTAGGATTTCCTGACCTCCAATACTCATTTCATTATCAGCTCTGCTGCTTCTTTCTTAAGGACTGTAGTTTTCAACTGTTGCTGTTTGTGTTTTAATTCTGCTGTTCCTTTTAACTCGACTTCACTTGCTCCTCCACAAACCTCCATAATCTTTTTTTAAAAGATTTATTTATTTATGCATACAAAAACTGGTATACAGGCCAGAGATGTGGGGGGTGAGAGGAGTCACCAGAGACAGAGTGGGGAACAGGCCAGGTGGATTGACTGTAATATGCTGTTGAGAGCAGCAGGCAAAGGCAGGAGAGGTCTGCTGTGCCATGTGGGTCACCTCCCTGGCTGGGGATTGAACTCATGCTGCAGCGTCTACAGATAGCTTCATAGTGCATCATCTTAACCCCCTGCACCACCATGGTGGCCCCCTTCCATGAGCTTTTTAGGTATGTGCTTATTTTGCATTTTGCAACTGAGCATTCATAGTCACATAAACCTCAGAATGTATTTAGAGCTTTTCTATTCCTCTTTTCAAGACAAAAGCCAGAATGAGGGAAATGAATTTCAAAGAAACTTACAAAAACAACGAAAGATCAACCACGAGTTTCTAAACAATATTTTAGGATACTATTTAGGGAAAACCAGATCTCTTAGAACCAGAAAGAATGAGATATTATTCTTGATGAGTTTAACTGATCCCTAGTCTATTCTTTTACTAACTTAATACAATTTCTCTGAAGCTATACAATAAACAGATATCCTCATCTATTCCTAAACAGAGGCAAATATGATAAAGCTGAAAAAGACTTCTTACTGCTAACTCACAGCTGTGGCATGCTAACTGTACAGAGCTACTGTTGCTGTTCTTTATATAACACTGTCTCTGTACAGTTTATTTTTGGTTCTCCATCTTCTGGAGGTGCAATGTGTGTGCATATCTAAGCTCTTGATTTCACACCTTGTAGATGAAGTCTGGCATTTCCAGCTAGGCCACAGGCAATCCTAAAACTGCAGTCTAAATCCTGTCTAACAGATTCAGTTCTCTCTTGGTGAAATCACGCTCTACTTTCCAAATAATGTACAATCAACCTTTGTTTCTCATCGAGACTAGGCAAGTTCAGGTTAAAGTGACAATCACATTTCTGTGATCTTGTTTCATGTTTTGAAATGTATTTATAATGGTGGAACCAGCTTCTCTGTCTATAAAGCAGCAAGAAATAGGGAAGCTGTACAGACCATGTCTTAAGATCTTCTTTTGAAGTTTGTAATAATGGGAACTGGGTGGGGGTCAGGGGCAGGTGCTCAATGACATGAGTGCAGTGGGGCATGTACAAGAAAAGGAAGAGTTTACTCTTAAGGACAAAGGAATAGTGACTGTCACTCAGCAGCTCTTCATTTCAATAGCCCAGGTCTGAAAAGCAAGGTTAGCTTGTGGTCACCTTTTCAGAGAGCTTGCAAGGATATTCTCTCCTGGACTTTGTCTGCAAGCCAGTTCTGTTAAGTAAAAAAATTTTGTATTTCCTCTTTTGTCATGGCCTCACTCTAAGACATGAATAAAATGAATTATTTTTTAAAGATTTATTTATACATACAAGAACTGGGGTATAGGCCAGAGGTGTGGGAGGTGACAGGATTCACCAGAGACAGAAAGGGGAACAGAACAGACAGACAGACTGAAATACACTGCTGACAGCAGCGGGAGAGAAAGGAGAGGTCTCCAGCTGGGAGCAGCGGGAGAGAAAAGAGAGGTCTGCTGCACCATGTGGATAGCTCCCTGGCCGAGGATCTAACTCATGCTGCAGTGGCTGCGGACAGCTTCATAGGTTGCATCTTAACCCCTTGCGCCACCAGGGAGGCCCAGAAAAATAAATTATTTTTGAAGTTACCTCACTTTACCATGACTATTTTTCAAGGGCAGGAATTTAAGGGTTTAGAGTAACATGTCATCGCAGCCCCTCTACTAAAATACCATGTGCTGTTAATGCAGTCAACCAAAAATTAACCATTCTGCATTAAAAATATTGGTTCCAAGGCCTTAAATCCTTCTAATATTGAATAAAAAGCTGGTCTTATGAAACATATTTTAAGTTCTGCATAAAATGGTTATTTCTAAGCACTTAGAGTGAAGATTCATTTGATAATCACACTGAAGTATACCCTGATTAAAATCATTGTTCACTTTCTGTAGCTGAGTACAAACAGCATCTTGTAAAATATAGAGTATTTCTAGTCTCTACAGTAGACATTGATAACATGTTATCTGGCAATTTTAGTCTAGAAAAACTAATTAAGATTTACTACTATAGCCTAATATAAATATGCATTGTCAGAGACATATATGAGTGTTTCACTTTTCTCTATACTTTTAAATAGGAGTTTATCTCAATATCCATCATGGAAATGTTCTCTTTCAGATAGCTTCTAGTTCCCTGTTGTACTGTTATCAAAAATGTTCTGGGAGATGTGAATAATTTATGTCTTTAGTAATACAATGTAAATATTTCATATAGTATTTATTAAATAATGCAACCCAATACAATTATGTAAAATTTTCAGTCTGTATGGAAAAGCAAGAACAAGAACTTTATAGACTGCAGTGCAAATGACACCTCTGTACTTTGAGAGCCACCGAGGTCTGGAACTCTCTGGTGAGTCCATTAGAACAGCTTCAGAACAATTAGGAGAGTAATGATAGGGTAATTATCATCTATTTTCCTATTCAGATTTCAGTTTATAGTTTTCTTTTGTTCCTTCTAGAGAAGAACCTATTATCTAATTCACAGCTTTGAACTTTGAATGGGCAGTATGAGGAAAGAATATATTTAGATAATCTACATCTTACTTGGAAAGAACTAAGAGGTAAATATATAGTTTTTTGTACTTAATTGCTAAAGTATCCTCCTAGGTTCTGTTTTTCCTTATTTCTTTTAAAGTCATATCTACATATATTTATTGGCACCCTGCCTCTTTCCAAAAGGATCTGTAAGTCCTTGGTCTATTACCTTCCTGCCTTTTTCCTCTCCGAGAAGGAAAAATCAAAGATACCCAAATGAAACTTTTTGTTAACATATTAGTTCTTCACAGGTAGAGAACACATCTCTAGTTATTTTGCTATTGCTAGACTAGCATCTTCTGCACCAAAAGTTTTCAACAGGGGATGATTTTACTCTTCAGGGGACACTGGGGAAGTCTGAAGACACTTTTGTCAGGACTGGATATGAGATACTGTTGCAAAGCTAGTGGGTAAAGCTCAGGGTTGCTGCTAAGTAGAAAAACAAGAACAATGCACAGAACAGTCTGCTAGACATAACAAAGAATTGTCTAGCCTAATGTGCCAATGATGCTGGCGTCATTAACCCTTTCTACATGCGTTGCCTAGTAAGACACACTTGATATGATGGGGAGAATGCTAATCAGGTGGACTCTGAAAACCCTACAGCACGTCTCCAAAACTGCCCCAATATTTATAGGTCTCATTTATACATACACTTAACTCAAAGCTGAGAGCGCAGAGCCTGCCTATGCCAAATTCCTTGTTCATTGATAAAGAATGCAAGGTGGAGGCATAAGGAACTTGCCTATGGGTCTGCAGTTGAATGCAGCTAACCAGCCATAGAGCCAGAGCAAGATTCTAGATCTCCTGATGACACAGTCCATAGTTCTTTCCACTGCATTATAGCAAATTCTGCAAGGATGTGTGAAAAATTGGTATACAAGACTGTCACTAAGGTAACTGTGAAACAATACAAATATATTGGGGATTTTTTTTACAACCTTATTGAGATGTGTTTCACATACCAAAAGTTTCACCTATTTAAAACATACAGTTCAGTGGCTTTAAGTATATTACAGAATTGTGTAACCATCTAATTTTTAAAACATCTCAGTACTCCAAAAAGAAACTCCTTACCCATTAGCAGTCACTCCTCACTCCTATTTTCCCCAACCCCCAGGTCAGCAGCAGGCAAACAGTAGTCAATTTTCTTTCTCTGTAGATTGGGTGTGCTGAACATTTCATATAAATGGAATCACACAATATGTAGTCTTTGTATCTGACTTTTTTCACTTAGCATGTTTTCAAGGTTTGCCCATGTTGTTGTACCTGTTAGTTCCTTGTTCTTTTATTATTATTATTACTGTTATTTTTTTGCCAAATAACATCTGTTGTATAGATGTGCCACATTTATTTGTGTGTTATTAGTTGCTGGATATTTGGGTTGTTTCCACATTTTGCTGTTATGAATAATGCTATGAATATTCAAGTACAATTTTTTATATACTCAAGTTTTCATTTCTCTTGGATATATAACCAAGGAGTGGAACTGCTCAGTGACTGCATCAAAAATTTTAAATAAGAATTTAAAGTAGTTTTGGAAGAGTTTATTCAAATATTAAGAAATTTTCTAAAATGTGGGCATAAGATAGAGTAAGAAAGTAAATAATATATAGTTTAATAAGCAAGTTAGAAAATCTGTAATGCATGGTGTTAAATTAGGCCATGTGGATTTTCAAAGACCTGCTATTAAGGTGTTTATTATATCATCTAATCAAAGTTCCCTAGAAGGAACGCTATTGAATGGAAAAGAGTTTTTCTCAGGGTAGTTCCATCAGGCTGAAAAAGCAATAATGATCCAGGCAGAAGCTAAAAGCAAACAAACCAGAGCACAACCCGAGCAGAAATCAGTTATGTCCTCTGACTCATGAGCTAGAAATGCAATAAACAGCTTGATGTACACTGAACCCTCATTTTCATTTTGCTGCCACAGATGGTTGGAAAATGATAACTATTTCTGCCATTTCACTATGAGCTTTGCCTCATATTGAACAGATTGCCTAAAAACTGATGATTATAGAATATAGCTGCTCAGAAAAAGGCCCTCAGCTGTCAGAGATAACTGACAGAGATAACTCATTCCAAGGTGGAAAGCAGAGGCAAATGCAGAACCTGCATTTCCCTTACCCCACAAACGCAAGAAGAATTGGGAGACGCTCTTCTGACTTTGTAAGTGATAATCAGTTTCTGGCCTGGTTTCTGACATGGTGTGCAGATGGCAGAATTGTTCAAGAGGAGGTAAAGGGGCATTCGTGCCAAATTCCCAAACCAGTGTCCTCTAAGGGACCCACAGCCCTCCTGATCCATGACTCCATGGGTTGCTTGGTGCCATTTTCTCTATCTACACAGCCCTCCCTTCTCCCTACCTGAAAAACTCCTCTCCACGCCACCACCTCACTCCAAATCTCTTTCAAACATTCCCTCCCCTGTGAATGTCTCTTCATCACTTTCCATCCTCAGCATCCTTGGGAACTTGGAACACAGTACCACTAGACCTGTTTCCAGGAATTAATGACTATTTATTGTGTCTCCAGCTCCTTTTTCAGTCTGATGGCATCATGAAAGTAGTTTCCCTTAGTCTTCAGAATCCAGAACAGCACCTGGCCCAAAGTGCTCAGAATCCTTGTGGTTGAATGGAATGAGGCAATTTGAAGGAATTTGTGTTTAAATTGCATTAAACTTCACAATAGATAAGAAATGGCTGAAAAATCAACAGAATAAATTCTCATTAAATGCAAATTAAGGCCCAGTTAAGAGTAGGCAGTACCCAAGAAACCTTCCCTGGTTTAAAAACCTGAGTATTCTCTTGTTGGGAGCAAAGATGGCTGCCCCCACAGGTACTTAGTGCTGTGCTGGGTGAAAAGAAAAGAAATCTCCAGTGGTCTGCGAGATAAAACACAGCAAATCACCCTGGGCTAGGGCTTAAAGATTTTCCATGCATATGTAGATGAACACTGCAAAATTCCTCTTCAAATTGCAAGTTGTTCTATTTTTCCCACTTCAATCTATTGCCCCCTTTATAGAGACCTGGATATAATTTCACTGGCATGAAGAAAAAAAAAAAAAAAGCAGGTTCATATTCTGTAGGCAGCCTCTCCTCCCTGTGTGCACATTAGTTCATTTGTTTGTCTTTTCTTGTCTCTTCTATTACTCATGTCAATTTATGTTATGAACCCAGCATCTAGAGGTAGAGGAAGGTTAGTTTCCCTCCTGACACTCATCTTGGTGACAAAGATAGCAACTCATGGAATGTGGACTCAAGCACTGGTCACGTAAGTCACCTTTTCACTTTTAATTCTGGGACCAAGCAACTTGACGTATAAAAGATGTCCGAAAATGCTGCTTTCTTTCACATCATTTCAAGATATCCTGTATTCAAAGGCCTTTTAATATCCCTGTTCAACAGAAGCTATGGAGAATGAGTTGATTTGCCTTGGGGAAAAATCATCCTTGTGTATTTCCCCAAACTTTTTAGGAACACAAAAAAAACCCATTATTATTTAATCCAGCAGGTATCAGACATGATTTAAACAGATAACAGAGTCTTACCTAGCTGAGAAAGGAAAATTCAGTTGGGCTCAGATATCGACAAAAAACCTATAAACTTTAGGACAGTTGGCAGGAAAAGAAAACGAGGTCAGAACACTAGCCCGATCAGTTCACTACTGTCCACAGCAAGTCTCTTCCATAAAATATTAAAGCAGCATAAACTAAAATTTGCTTCACTGCAAATACAGAATGCCAGAAATAGTACCTGAAAGGTCACTTAATTTCACAAATCTTCCCCTGGTGCTACAGAGTAATCTGGTAAGAGTTTTTGCCTTTATTATTTCCCCAAATTCAGGAAATTCACTTTCCACTGTATTTCAGAAAGGCCACACAGCTTTTCTCACCTTTCAGCAATGCTACCCTTTTCCTTCCTAAATGACTTCCCCTCGCTTTTACTCTGAAAGAGTCCATGTATTCTCAGATTTTTCTGAACTCCCATTCCTTTTTCACAAGTTGAAATATATCAAAATAAGTTAAATTATTTTGTGTTAATAATGAAGTTGTGTTTTTTTTTGTTTTGTTTTGTTTTTTTAAGGCTGGAGGTGTGGGGAGTGAGAGGACTCTCCAGCGACAGAGTGGAGAGCAGAACAGGCAGACGGAAATACACTGCTAAGAGGAGCAACAGGCGAGACAGGAGAGGTCTGCTGCGCCATGTGGGTAGCTCCCTGGCTGGGGATTGAATTCATGCTGCAGTGGCTGCAGATACCTTCATAGGTTGCATCTTAACCCCTGCACCACCAAGGAGGCCCAATAATAAAGTTTTGTGTTTTTTTTTTAAAGGAAAAGGAAAGGCAGGGATAGGAAGAGACTTAAAATAATAATAAATAATTAAAGGGTCCATATAGTGCCACAGATTCACTTTGTGATCTTGCTGTGTTATGATCAATTGTACAATGTTCCAAGTAGACCATTTAGGTAATAATAATCTGGATCAATGGTGTTATGGGTTGGCTATTAGTGTTGAAAAGATTCATCTTTTCTATTGACAATACAAATGGCTACATATATATTGTTACAGAAGGGGAAGAGCCTTTTCCCCACTGCCAGGCTCATAAAGCCACCATGGACTACAGATCTCAGTGTGCCATGAACTGGACTTCCTCATCAGGGGAGCTACTGAGTACCAGGGGCAGAACTGAAGCTATATAAAGTGGAGGTAGGTAGGTGGGCTCTTGGATCTTGCTTCTCCAGCTTTGGCTTGCCCCCCAGGACTGGGGGGGTAAAGGGCTGGACAAGAGACCCAGAAGAAACAAGTGGGGAAGCTGACAATGGCAGCTATTGTCTTGATACAGTATAATCCTTTTGTCCCAGCTTCTGAGAACTGCCTTTATCCCTTTCTTGCTGTTCCCCACCAGAAGGTGCCTTAGACATGTGGCATACTTTGGGCCTAAGCAGCCCTGCTTTGGGCCAACCTTGTTTGGATGGGCATTTGTCTACAAAGGGATGGGTAATTTGGAAGTTTTATGGGAAATTATTATTAGGAATATCCTCTCTCCCCTCTCTATGCACACTAACTCTATTAAACATCTGTTACACTAAAAGTCGCATCCTTTGCTTTGTGCACATGGATGGTCGCATCCCTTTAGAGCATGCACCCCTTAATAGTTTGGGTGTCCCTGGGTGCCCCTTGATTTGGAGCACTAACAATATGATCATTAATTGCCGATTTAAATCCTGTCATTTATAAGGTTTAGTGCTGTCCTTTGTGCATTTTGAGACCTGGTACGGAAACAAGATTTGCTAAACGTACTGATAAATGGCTACATTTTCTACAAACATTCCCATTTAAATACAGAGATGCTGCTGTAACAAGTCATTTCTCATTGCAAGCTGTAAGGAAAGAATTTCTGTACTGGCTAAATAAAGATAAAGTCCTGTTAGCAAACAGGAGTGAGCCATTCCTTATAGATAGATCAGGTAAAATAAACAACAGCACAGCATTTTAAAACCTATGTAGCTACTCTCTTCCCAACCCATCCCATTATTCATAGCAAAGTCAGACATTTTTTTCCTCCTAAGCCACTACAACATATTATATTCCTCTCAACATTTCTTCAGACAGCTACCATCAATTAGCTAGATTTGCTTTATCATCATTAAGAGGAAATGAATATAGATATTATAAAATCTTTTTTAAAG